CACTACTTCAACCTAATACAAGAGGGTTTCAAGCTCCTGGACCCTCAGAAACGCTGTTTCCATTACCTTCTTCAAGGCACTCTTCACTGTACCAACCATTCGCTCATAGAAGCCTCCATGCCATTGTGCAGCAGGAGGATTGAACATCCATGGTACACTCAGTTTGTCAGGTGCAGCCTTGAACGTTGTAGCGTTGTCAGACCTGATACGAGACGGCAAACCACGTCGCGCGACAAACTTCCGAAATGCTATCAAGAATGACTCAGTACTTAAACTATCGACCACCTCCAAGTGAACTGATCTAGTGGTGGCACGCACAAACAATGCCATCCATACGTTCGGAGATGACTCACCGTTGCGTACGTACAACGGACCAGCATAGTCGATGCCGGTAGTTGTGAACGGCCTCTCGTGAATAACTCGGTCTTCTGGCAGCGGCGGGCAGACTTCTGAGGCAGCCTTAGCCTTGTAGCGGCGGCATGTAACACATCGCTGAGTAATGTTGCGTAGCGCTCGTCGACCACCGATAATCCAGAATTTCTGACGGATGAACGACAAGACCCCTTCTACACCTTGGTGCATCCTTTTGAAATGCGTTTTCTCCAACAACAACTCGGTCAGATGATGTTTGCCTAACAGGACTGGGTGCTTGGCTCCATGCGCCAACTCGCTGTGCTGAAGTCGTCCCCCGGCTCATCCAGGAACGGTGCAAGCTGATACGCCTTCGACCCAGACTTCACTGGTTGACCTTGCTTGATCAGCTGAAGATCCTCAGCGAAACATTCGGCTTGAATGATGCAGTACAATACGTTGTCTGCTGCAAAATAGAGTTCAGCACGAGGCTCAGTGTGCTTCCACTGCAACATCTGAGTCACCATGCCCTATGCTCTCGACCACTTACTGAATCGGAGCCACCATTCCTTATCAGATTCGCAACTACAGGTGGTGGCTGACACTTGCACTTCTCCACTGGACTCTTCTGTAGCTGCGGTGAGGATGCGATGGGCCAGTCATTGGGCTCCGTGATCCAGGTTGGTCCGCCCATCCATAACGGACTACGGATCTGCTGTGCACTACTCCCACGCTGCGGTAAATCTGCTGGGTTGTGAAGGCCCGGGCAATGGTTCCACACAATGCCGACCTTCTTCGATATCTCTTGGACTTGACTGACGCGGTTAGCCACAAATTTTTTCCGTTTGTACGATAGATTACTGATGCAATAAACGGTAGCGAGACTGTCAGTCCAGCCATAGACTTGCATGACGGTCACACGCAGCTCCTTCGCCACAAACTCAGCGTAGCGAGCCGCTAGACATACTGCTTGTAACTCAAGGCGGGCTAACGTGGGCGGAGACACTGGTGCCACTTTGGCCTTGGCAAATACCAAGGGCGACTGTCCATTGACGACTGCATACAAAGAACATCCAAACGCTTTCTCACTGGCATCCGCGAAGGCATGAAGCGCAATCGGCGTGTCAAGATTGCAGCAAATCCAACGAGGTATGGCAATGCTCACCACTTCGGCCAACTCTCCCCACCATTGTGCACATGCGGTTGCGATGCCATCAGGCAACTTATCATCCCAGTCGCCTCCGACTTACCAGGCTTGCTGTAGCAGTATCTTTCCCGGCACAACTGCTGGTACTGCTAGACCTAGCGGATCAAACACTGACGCAACACACTTAAGGAGGGATCGCCGGGTGCAAACAGACGGCCTATCGGACTCGCCTAGCGCTGCTATGCTGAGCAAGTCATAACTAGTTTTCCATTTCAGACCGAGGACTTTATCTCCGGCGTCTGGATCGCACGGGATTTCGTTGCCTCGCCACTTGTTTAACTCCATGCCAGCATCTGTAAGCACACGCACGCTGAACTCTTGCATCTTCTTGGCTTCCGAGGCATTTGAGACACTAGAGACCAAATCGTCAACGTAGAAACTTGTGCGCAAGAGGTCAATACGGTCTCGCTCTTTGGGTGCAGACAGCGCCCCTAGTTCCTTCAAGTGATGCTGAATCACCGCAGTAAGCATTTATGGCGAGCAGTTTACGCCAAATGGCAGTTTCGTTAGCCTCCAGGTTTACAGTTCATCGCTGTCGCTTCGACCGGGCCACAAGAAACGCAGGTACGGACGGTCTTCGGGATTAACCGCGACCATGAAGAAAGCCTTGCGGATGTCCGCTTGCAGCGCGACCTTATATTCACGGAACCTTAACAGCATACCTGCGAGACTCGGCAATCGCGACGGCCCAGGGTCAACCATGTCGTTCAACGACTTGCCATCTGGAGCCGTCGCCGAGGCATTGAACACCACTCTTAACTTCGTGGTTGCAGCGTTCTTGCGGAATACACGATGATGCGGTACATAGTACCCGGCATCGCTCTCACATGACTCCAGCTCAATTGCTCCAAGCTCGCAGTACACCCTAATCAGCACATCATCATAGAGTGTACGCTTCCCATTCCCCTTTAGCTTGTCAAGAAGCTGTGTTGCGATGACTCTAGCTTGAGCATAGTTATCCATTGGGCGACTCTCATTTCGCCACAAGAGACCCGCTTGGTACCCGCTGCCCTGGCGACATAGCGGGAAAGATGGCAAGTGCTGATGTTGTTCTGGAGGTTCATCCGACTGCCATAGTTTGTCGATGTGGGCTGTGACACATGACACGGTCACCGGCTGACTGTTTCGACTGGGTGCAGACGCTGGACCAGATAATACACTACCCATCTCTGTGTTCCACACCGTCTCACCACTAACTTCCTTCTTGCTGTGCAGTACCGCGTTGATATAGTCTGCACCGATCAGCAAGTGTATTTCGTCTGATGTCCCTTCTTGAGGCTTGTCACTCAGCTCTACTCCCCAACTGTGCCACTGCGCAATGGTCTGCGGACTTGCGCACTTCAGGTCCAGCTCTAGCGTTGGTTTCGTGAATGCGCGTACCAGAATGCTAGCAAAGCTACCGTGCATCGTGATGGCGTACTTATCCATGCGCTGTTTGGTTGGTTTCGCGCCGAACGGCTTCACCTCATTTTCAACCCCAACGGGTTCTCCATAATTATATTGGTGACACCAACGCTGCAGTCACAAATGACGCCTCAGCACCCGAGTCCAGGAACACGCGAACCTTCGCCTTTCGATTTCTTCCTTCAACTCGTGCCACTCCGGTCATCAGCCGCACACTTGGAAAGTGTAGACAGTGTAGTACCGTAGCCCACGCTTGCCAGAGCAACTGCTTGGTTCCAGAAGATCTGTATTCAGATGCTGCATGATGCGACACTCGGCTTATAACACAATACGGAATGTGCCAAACTCTACACTATAGTATGATGGTGTTAATACTATAGCCTATACTCTACAACATTACACTGACCACTATGATAGCACTAATCCCAGCCCTACATTACTCCCTCTCAATGAAGAAGAGATAAGCAGAAAGGCTATAAGTATAAGAGAAGAACACAATGAAGGTTGAGCAGAACTTAAGTAACGCAATGTGGTAAATACCAAAGCTCATACAATGTCTAGCGCAGACTGTCCGAATACAGACGGGCCTCCTCTGTCAGCTTGAGTGAAGTTGACAATTGTACTGAATTCGTACACAGGCTTCACAAGTGAACTATATCAGTCAAAATGTTGACATGAAAAACGGGTACGGGAAACTCTGAAAAACTCTGCAAAATGGCACTGGGCAATACGCATGGGGGTAGAGGGCACTTGGTAACAATGACTTTGTCTGGTTTCAGGCCCTGCCGTGGCACTGCCAATGTGGTGTGGACACAGCGCTGGATTTCAGGTAAAGCCACCCACTTCGTGTGGGATCGCCAAGTCCTTGGCCTCGACATGTCAAAAGCATTGGACACCAGTAGCTTCATGAAATAGAATAGTTCGTCTCTTTCTCCATACGTATATGATACCATAATGTGGGTTATCTGAAAAGAGGGCAGATTCCCAATGAGGCTGTTAGATACACACCTGCTATTGAAGGATCATACATGTACATAGCGCTTCTTGTCTATTTGGAATAATTTGTTTTATTTTATATATTTTTGGTCTGAATCATTTTTTTCTTCTGAGTCCTTTTTTCATTATCGTCATCTGTTTTGTTTTTGGTCTTTTTGGTGAAGCACGTAAAAGCATAATTAGCTGTTTTCTCGAGCATCCTGCGACCATCCGCTAGAGCACAATCTGGTCATTTCCGATCATAATCCGATTACCCCTACCAGTGTGCAGAAGGAACTATGAATCTATGTAGAATTACAGAGGTTGTGACTGAGAGGAGGATCATGGCGAGTCGGTTGTCCGAGTCGGTTGTATTGCGTAAATAAGGATACACAGGAGCAGTGATGTAGCAATGGGATTTGGGAAAAAGAAGACGAGCTGTGAGACGTACAGGGGTCACTAGAATACTAAAGCACTTTTGTGCTCCCGCACATATTGCCAGGCGTCAGGCGCCGAGCCTCCCTGCCTATCCGACCCGCCATACACAACAACAAAACTGAACTAAAGTTTTACATAATTTACTTATTCGACAAGACGGAGACTTTCAACGGGCCAACAAAGAAGACCGGACACAACAAGGGAAACTGGAAACTGAAGAAAAAGACAAACATCATAGCAGCACATGAGCATGCACGCAAACAAAACAAAACAAAACGCATGACAATGACGAAACCGTTCCATGGTGCATGCACAAACTGAATGTGAAACCAAAACAGTCCAACTGGGGGAAAAGGAGAGCGCAAAATAAAACAACCTTTGGTATATTTATAAACCAAAGGACCACAACAAAATTGAGCCATGAAACGTCTTTCTTTCTAATACAAACGATATGCAACAAGCGCTTTACACAAAGCATCTACAACTGTTCCCTTCAATCCAGTGCAGCAGATAATAATACTCACAGATATTAGAGGTTTGTTCATCATGTACCCAGCAGTACTCTATATACACACAGGTATAATTACTATTCTCTGCGTTCAGCGGTGCAGTTGAGAATACTTACAGGCTTTGGAGGTTTGGTAGACCAGAGAACACACCGTCACTTAAATTCTGGATCTGATTTTTGTACAAATATCTACAAACGACAAAGCACAAAGACAATGTTGCTCTTCCTATGTTCCGGGTAAAGCACAAAACACCGAGTCTAGGATATTGTAGTTCTAATCTAAAAGGCCGAATCATGACCTTGTTTTCAGAAATAACCTACACTCCTAACCACAACATGATTCGTATGCAACTTGGTTAGGTTGCAAAGTTCACATACACAACTGTAAATATAGTCTCCGGCAATTTTCCCCTATTGTTATACAAGAGGTTAGTTGCAAAGCTAAGAAAACACAATTGATTTTCTAACGATGCATTGTTTAACACTGCAGACACACAGTTCACATACACCACTGTCAACTTCTAATGTTGCATTGTTTGCCAATGCAGATAAATAACGGGCCGCCGAAGAATGAACAATATACTGGCTTGAATTGTTACAAATTGCGTGAGAACTGAATATGATAGTATACCTAAACTGGGACTTCCCAAGGGATTCATAGTCTTTGGCTGATCATGGCGTTAGAAAAGGTACAAAAATCCTCAGTCTTCTTTATGGTTCGTTTAATCAATGTTTCGTTATGTTGACACCCCTTCCCCTCCCCTTTTTGTTATATTGATGAAGAAATGGAGCAGAAATAAAGGAAGTGCGTGCCATAACGTTTGAAGTTTCTGGAAATGTCAATGCTTTTCGAACAGAATCTATCATTGCCAACAAGTTTAGATAATTATCCGCAATGGGCGAATGCCTCATGGCTTCAATTAGAAATCTAAGAAAACTAAAGGCCAAATCATCTTCGTTCTGCGCTTCCGAAAACTTCAGAACATTTGAAAGTTATAGAGGGATACATGATTTAACATTATCCACTGTGATGCAGTTCTGAACATGTAGGAAGAATTTGTTGCACCATTTACTGTGCGCTGCCGTGTGAGTATCTCATGCACGTCACCCTTTTCATCCAACGACGAGGGTTTGACCTTTTGTCGGTGCCCAGTTACTTCTCTGGACATCTGGACATCGTCTACATTTCTTTCAAACTCTCGCTAGTTACGGCTCAGCTAGATGCAACTTCTCTGTGTAGGATCTGAACTCACTCGTTCTTCATGCTCTTTCTTTTTTGAGTATCACCTGTGATTGTCGGCTGTAGTCGGACGTCCCTTTGCTATTTGGATAGGGACTAAGTGAGATGGAAATAGTGTTGTTCTCCCCCTGGTCCCCACCACACAGCAACGCAAACTCTTGAGTGTGTCTCCATTCTTTTTATTATACCAATAAATGACGAAGGCGCAGAAGGAGAATGGAAAACAAAGGTCAAACGAAAAGACAACAGGAAAGACACAAAGAAACCACAAATAACGAGCAGTAATAAAGCGAATACAAATCCATACTGGCCAACCACCAAAATCTCTATACCTTGACAAAACATGCAGAATCCATGGATTTCTCTCAAAATCCCTGAATGGCTCAAAAACAATAAAAAACGTTCCACAGCATAAACTGCAGGTCTGCCGTCAGCACGGTTCGACTCTGCAGTGCAGTTCGATCAGTCAGCACCCGCGCCTGCCAGTGCAGATCTTGCAGGCTAGGCTGATCAGGTCTTGAAAGTGCCGTGCACAGTTCGAAGTGCGAGTGGGCACCGTAAATATTTCAAGAAGAAGGAACGGGACATTCGAGGTGAATCAATGGAGCGTGATGGAGCGTTCAGGAACATTCTGTATCAGACAAAAATGTGACTTTAACCCTAGAACAGCCAACGGTGTCATTTGACACCGCGCGAGTCCAACTTTTGGAATTACCGAAATATGGCGAATCAGAATACGCTCAAATCTTGTGACTATTCCTAGTGTTCCTTCCTCTTTCGTCTGCCATGGACCTTTGATTTCTAATTGTTGAGGTACCATAAAGGCGAGTATGTATACCTAGAACGGCCAACCAGTGTCATTTGACACCTGCATCAAAAAAGCCAATATTGCAGGTAGATAGAAACAATATGAACACATATCGAAGGTGTTGGACATATTGAGTTGCTCGTATGCCAACCAGACAAAAGAAAGGTGCTTCGGCAGGGAAATGGCTGAATACAGGACGGAATTACATGACCGCATACAACCGTGGGGCGAGAATCGCGAGTTTGGCGCGGGTATACATTAGTGCACAGATTACACAAACACTCTTCAGCTAATGTCCTTGATACTGCTCATTCCCTTTCATTTTCCTGCAAATTGCCCCACAGGAGCCATCGCAATCTGACGGCCAAGGAAATACTAGAATGGATGTAGCCTATTACCATGCATGAATCTGATGACCATGAAAGCGAAATTGCCCACTTTATCTTCATTTGATAGATGTTCAAGTGTAGTGACCATTGGCAGTGGTGGATCTGTTCTGTCATATGAGGGCGAATCATACTGTCACAACACCTGAGTACCTGTGTATTCAGAATGTATTGTGGTTTATGAGCCTCCAGATAGCAGACAAGGATTGCGAGATAGTCAAGTCAAGAAATTGTCAGAAACAGTTGCAGGAGTGGTGGAGAACCCGAAATGGATAGTGCTGAGGAAGAGGAATCGCAACTCTGCAACCTGGAGATGGTACACCGCATTATCGCAAGGATGGTCCTGTGTTGATAATCTTTTCTAACTACTAATCTTGACGAGCTAATAAGGCTCTTGAACCAAACCTCTTCCTCGCCCACTTCAGGCTGAATGGGTAGGCAGCAGCTGGGATAACGTCTCTCTCGTCTCTCGGGGCATGATGCTCTTGGACCGATCACAGTGGTGCTTGTAGTACTCGTATTCAGAAGGTATCCCATGCACACACAGAGGCCAGCCGATTATGACGCTCCAAGTAATCCCGTCCAGCGAGCTTTGAACACTCGTATAGAATATGGGCAACCGACTCGCTTGCCTTCCCACACATTCGAGACAGGTGGCTTCCGCGCTGATGGAAGATTTGGGGCTTGAGCAGGTTAGTTGCCAAGGCCTGGTATAGTGTCGCGATGATCAGGCTCTCTGTGATCTTCTTGAGGCCAACCATGATCTTCTTGGGACCAGCCTTTTTCAGCCAACTCCAGGTGTTCTCGTTGGTCAGTTGTTCTGTTTGCCGGACAAACTACCCATGCCAGGGTTTCTGGGTCCACGCCAAGAGATGTTCTTTTTGAAGCCGCACTTCACCACATTTGAGGTGTCCGGTGGGGCAACCAGATGTGGCCACAGAATAGATGCAGCAAGCTTCATGAGTTCTGCATCTGACTGAAACACATAACGCTGCAAATTGCTTTTCTCCATGGTGACAACATCATGGATACTTTGCAAACCACGTTCACCCTCCTTGCGATTGACGTACTTACGGGCTACATCACCGCGTGGATCGAGAGCTCCATGCATAGTCATGAGCTTGCGCGTTCCTTGGTCAGCAGATTTCAACTCGTCCTGCGTCCACGCCAAGATACCAGCACTATACCATATCAAAGCCGCAGCCCAGGTGTTGATGGCTGTGATGATGTTGTGGCCGTTTAGAGCTGAACGGAGTAGTCGTATGACCTCACTGACATGCCTCTGTCCTCCTTCTTTGTGCGTTGCGCTTATTCTTATTAAATTTTTGTGTTTCTGTTTCGGTACATTTCGTATTTCAAGGCATATCCCGAGGCTATAGGTATCATTGATTAAAGGACCATTCTGGAACATTCAGCATAATTGTATTTCTCTTGCTAGGCTGTTCATTACGAATTATTAGCCCTCCACTGTCTGCTATCTCAACCCTACAGCCTCCCATTATAATGGAACTCCCTTCAATTTAGACTACGTCTTTGGGAAATCCTCAAATATATAATAATAATAATAATAATGAGGCAGATGACGAACAGCAGTGGGGATATGGAGTCCCCTTGGAAAATCCATTGCTGAATGGCCGCCGATCTGAAGGTGTTGGTGCCGTTCCAACGGTCAACCTTCCACTAAGCCATGCTAACAGTCATAAGTCTGCGTACGGATTCTTGTATGCCAAACAGGTCCTATATTTTGATAACCACAATCAGTAATACAAGCTGGACCGACATTTGTGTACACTGTATTCATGTATTGGAAAACTGTGGAGACAATGTACAATAAAACTATGAAAAATGTGAAGAAATTGTGAAGAGAAAGAAAGGGATTCAAACACGTTTTCTCACAACACTCATCAGGAATCTTAGTTGTACTAAAGGACACTGAAAACAAAATTGAACTATTATAGAAAATCTAAGTTAGAGAAATAACACTTAGAACAACAGCGGTGAAATTTACAAGTGTGAATTTTAACAATGAAAGCGAGAGCAATAACGAATGTGTGTACTAACACTAAACTTGCAACTGAAAAGTGAACAAAGAAGAGAAAGAAAGAAGGAAGGACAAAGTGATAACAAATAACGGCAGTACATTACACCTAGAACATTAACGGCCAAGCTTGGCCGCACCAAACATGACACTTTACTTGAACAATTTCAACCCAATTATACTATCTTTCTGTACACACAAATTAGGCTTATACAGACGCTGACAGATGGCTTCCAAAACCTTTTTAAAGGTTAGTCCATAACCATGACGACCACGGCACAATACAGTGAATGAAGAGTCGGAATACGAATTGCAACAATCAGGACTAGCCAACAGATGATTGTACACTGAAGACTTTCTACCACGAAACCTACGCACAACGCTAACATTCTCACTGGCACTCTCACGATCACTACAATCGTCGCTCTCCGACTCATTGCTCCCTTCACCGTCCGTCCCATCATCTGCTTCCTCTGCGCTCTCTCTGTTATCCCGCCTGACATGGTCCATTGAACGGGACTCGGCCGTCACCCTGCTCTCACGCCCCTCCTTACGCCCTTGTCCGTTGAGTGCGTAGTTTCTGTTGTAGTTGGCTGTTGATCGTCTTGGTCTTTCAATAATGGGCTTGGATGGTGGATTAGTTGTGGTTGCTGTAGATTGCATTGTTGGTGATGGTGTGGGAGCTGCTAATACGCAAGGTGAGTCTGTTTTGGTTGG